ATCCTTCAAATTAAATCTATTTTCTTCTTTTTATTTAATATATTAAATATTAATATAAACCCATCATATTTTCTTTCAACTAAATAATTAAATTCTTTAATTAATCAATTTTCATTCCGTAACTCAAGGTTTCTAATATAGAGATAGAGTGTAACTCTTATGCGCTATATGATATGTTGTGTCAATTGATATTTGGGTCAAAAGTCATTTTACCCCTATAATTACATCTTACATCTTAAGTACCATTAATTCCGTAATGAATAATTTGTTTAATAATTCAATCATAAATTAAGTCCCTCTTGGACCAATGAGAAGGTGAGACCTCATTGTTAAGTCTTGAAATCAGCCTTTGAGAAACTACGCATCTATTTATCTTATATGGAAATGAGTGAATTTCATCTCATAAACTCATTTTACAACTTCTTATTTGGTCTAAGTCCTCAAAATGGTAGGTATATTGAATCAACTACAAAAGTCATTCTCATCCATATGAATCAAAAAACAAGCTACTCACTCCAGATTAAGATCAATTCGCATATAATTTTATCTTGTAGAAGATAATCTTCTTCCTCACAAACAAACATCGAAACCTAGGTGTACCTCAACACTGCAGCAAACCTAGGCGTTCGGTAGTCCAAACCCCGACTCCTTTTGACGTACGACGCGCCCATGCAGCAGGTGGGTGTAAACTGTTTCACTCCCTAAATCCATAATGATGCCTGAAAAAATGGTTCTCGAACATTATATTTCAAAACCTTCAAACATCTTATCTACTAAGGTAGGTAGCATGGATTGATTGACATTTTGGGGCACCCTGATATTGGGCCTTCGATGGGCCGACCATTGGAGGCCCAAAGCCGCAGCTATTAGGTTGTTTGAAACAAAAATTCATTCACACGGACAGTTGGAGAACACGTGCGGTTTGAGACAAATAAATCTAAGAGAGAGAATAATGCATGTGGAGTCCATTAGAATAGAATCTTCAATATTCATATAATAATGCAAGTAGACCGAGTTTATGAATATCTTATCATACACCATGATTTGGAAATGGTACGATTATATTTATTCACCTTATAATATATATTTCGACTGGTATTTTTCTCTATATTATTGTAATTTTTTTTAAATTATTTTAAATTAAAATGCCCACCAACCAAACATGCCCTCAGACAAAATCCTCGAAAATCATACTTTAGTAATTGGATGTCCGAAAATGCCCTTCCGTTATCATATTGTTAATGATTATTTTAATGGCTTAGCATGGGCTCGTACGTCTTTTTCTTTTTTTTTTTAAATTTTATTTTCATGTTTTTCGATTAACGAAACGATTCGTTTTTGGCGGGGTGAATCTCAGAATCACATGGTGACCAGCTCAGCCGGTCACATGGTTTCTGATACGTGGGGCCCACGGATGCTTCTTGGCAATGGGGGAGTTGCACGTGTGGTGGGAGAAATGGGCGGCGGAGGGGGGAAGGGTATGATCGGGAAAGACATTGTTTATTTTATTATTTTATTTTTATTTATGTTGGCAGTTTGACCGTTGACCGATCTGGGTTAAGACATTGTTACTTCGACCGTACGCGAACGTGCGGGTTAGTTACCATACACGTGTGCGTGCTGTCCATTTGATCCCACGTAGGACCCACGTGACTACTTGAGGGATAACGAAGAGAGAGAGAGAGAAAAAAAGAGTTTTTTATTTTTTATCTTTTCTTTAAATTACCTATAAATCAAACATTTGGGGAAAGTGTTGTCTGTGGGGCCACCACCTCATCCATCAATGATTGGACAAACTAGAAAAGTAAGGAAAGGGCAGTTTGGGAATTTGGAGATAAAATTCGGTAACCAACCAACCGCTGTGACGGGTTCGTTGGTTTCGTGGTCACTTAATTCACGTGCGGGTCACGTGCCACCCTATGTGCTTTATCCTTTCCAATTAGTCCTTTTTTTCCTTCACGTGATTTTTTTGGATGTTTCTTATAATTTCTTTTCTCCTTTTTATTTTTTTCTTTTTAATCCACAAGTTGATGGATTACAATAGGGGTAGGGGCAAAATGGGGTTTTCATGAGGAAATGACGGAACCAGGAGCAAGAGTGGGGGGTGGGGGCGAGTTCACGTGCAAATCACATGGGAGGTGAGAAGCCTCGTACGGGCTGTGAAGAAGCGTGGGGGACGCAAGGAGGGGGAGTGGGTCCCACGTGTGGGGTAATTTGTCGGGTAGTGGTGAAAATAAATTTTAAATTAAATTTAAAAAAAAAATAAATGAGAAGAGATGAAGGGGACACGTGGGACAGCTAACACGCACTAGTGGGGACACATTAATCATAATCCAACATCTTGTCTGGTTTTATTTATTATTATATCATTAATTCTCTCCAATTATTATCTGATTCAAACACTTGAGAATTGCTTGTATCATTGCATCCTGAGAAAATATTTGCTCTTCTCTTCTCTCACTCTCTGCTTTGGAGCGTTTGCTTCACGCGCTATTGCTCCAAACTTTATGAGGTGTTGAAAATAACAATTATTTAGAAATTATTATTTTTAACTATTTTAAAAATAATTTTCAAAATATATATTGAATTTGAGTTTCTAATCAGAATTTAAATATTTGACTATCACAATCCGACTAACTTAATCTAAAAATTGTACGGTTGTGTTCGTTATTTAAAAAAGTTATTTGGATAGAAAAATTTACTACGAGAACAATTAAATTTTGTATTAAAAAAATGTACCAAGTCAACCCAACTCATGGATACCTCTACTAAACAATTGGGTTCGGTTCAAAATCAATCTAATAAAGTATTTTGTAGTCATGTGTTCAATTATTGTTAAATAGAATTCATAGCTAAGTGTATAGTGTCTACCTAAAGACTTCCACTTATAATATTATAATATTAATGGCAAAATTTTCAAACAAAAAAAAAAAAAAGAAAAAAGAAAAAAGAAAAGAAAAAGACATGTGAATATGGACTAATGTCTTTTTAACACTAATTTTGTCGAAAGAAAAAGTACCAACGATAGGTGGCTTAAAATAAATTTTGGTTTATATATTTTAGATTTATTCTATTTTACTAGGGCACGTGAGATATACGCGCTCAGAAGGGGAAGAAATGGGAGGGGGTGAGATTTTGATAATATACATAATAACGGGTAGGAGGGGGGTTATTGTAGTTCAAATGATTGAGGAGAAGGGGCGTGTCGGGACACGTAGTGACAGCGTGAGATGGCATCACCACTTCTCATTTCTCGCGCGTGGGACCCACGTCACCCTCCAGATATTAGCAAAAATAAATAAATAAATAAATAAATAATAGTTGTCCGTGGTGTGAGAGCACGTGTCACATGTTGCTACCCCACGTGACTTTCCTTAATATCACGCTTTCCTTAAACCCCCTCCCCACGTGAACACCACCGCCCTTTGTCTCCATTTTCTCTCTCTCTATCCTCTCGACATTCTCTCCCATCTTTACCCCTTTTATCTCCATTTCTCTATGAAACTAAATTAATAAAAATATTCTACTTTTTTTTAATAAATATATTCTTAAAATTTTAAAATTTTCAAAAATATTCAAAAGTGGAGTTAAAAAAAACTTTAAAACTTATTTAAAAGTCCAAAAAACACATTTTAGTTTTTTTAAATAAAAAATAATTTTATCCTTAATACCTCTTTTAAAAAATTATTCATAAGCTTTTCAAATCTATATTAAAGTTTTATATTTTTTTTTAAAATCAGCCACAAAATATAAAATTTAAGAATATTTTTATTAACTTAATCCATTATTTAAGTTCTTAATATTAAATATAATGATTTTACAATTTTAATTTTTGATCCCTTAATTATTATTATCTCTTTTCTAGGATATAGAATATATATATATATATATATATATTAATAATTCACATAATTTATTATTATTCTTTAAATACTGAAAAAGTAATTAGATTCATGGGGTTTCGAAATAGATCCGTATTTGTTTCTAATTCTTCAGAAACACGGTTTTATTAAATGCTGATTTAAACAATACCCACCCAAAATAATAATAATAATAACAATAAAATTAAAAAATATATAGAAAATTAAGATTTTTTTCCCACGCTTACAATAATTTATTATTTTATAATAATAATAATAATAATAATAATAATAATATATTTGTTTATTTTAAAAAGGTAAGTTTAGAAGAAAAAAAAAGGAAAAAAAACAGTGTAATGTGGGGCCCACAGGGGAGGAGACTGAATGAACGAAATGAAAAGGTGAAGTGTCTGATTCGCTGTCTTTCTTTCTTTTTTTCTTTTTTTCCTTTCCTCCAATTATGATTGGGTCCCACTCCCTTCCCTTCATCACGTCCGTTGGTTTCATCTCTTTCTTTTTTCAACGATTCAGATTTAACCTCTTCCCTTCTATTATTTGCTTTCTAACTCATATAATAAAGAAATAAATAATATACATATATTATATAAAATAACTAACGAACTAAAATAGCCCATGGAATGTTTTATTATTATTATTATTATTATTATTATTATTATTATTATTGGAAATGGAAAGTAAAAATGCGAAAATAGTATCAAATATGTTTCATTTTCTATTATTTGAAAATATTCTAAATTAATAATATCAAAAGATAAATGATATTTTAAAATGGGTACATTTAATAACAGTCCAAGTTTATCAGCTATAGGTATGATCTTTTTGTAACTTTCCCTTGCGGGCTTCCCTTCAAGTTAAAGACACTCAGTTAAGAACATGTTTGCACACCATTATCGAAGGTGTGATCTCACATGGTTAATATGATCATAACTCAATTAATTTAAGCGGTATAATTTCATAAAATTAGAAAAGGATACATTTAACCATAGTTAAGTTAAGCAACCATAGTTAATAGTGGAGGGGAAATGATTGGGGATAATTGGAGGGGCTTTCCTCTGACACACACACTAATTATTTTCCCATTTTCTCCTCTTCTTTTTGGGTCTATATAATCCTCTGTTTTCCCCTTCTTATTGGATCACACCTTTCCTTCATTTTCTCTCTAGAAGCTCTAGAAATTTGCAGCGATTGAATCATGATGTCTTCCAAACACGACAACCTTAGTTTGAGCCTTGGATTGAGCTTTGATTCTCATTATTTGCAGCTCAATCTCCGGCCTTCTTGGAATGATCATGCCTCATCAGGTTCGATTTCATTTTCGATTACGAAGTTTTTTAAATCCATCAGAACAGAGGATGAATTTCTGAGTGTTTTTGTTTTTTTGTTGCAGATCGGACATCGGAAAACCGGATGCCACCATCGCCGGTGGATTGCGAGGAGGAGGAGGAGGAGGAGGAGGCGGCGGTGTCGAGTCCTAACAGTACGGTTTCGACTGTGAGTGGTAAGAGGAGTGAACCAGAAACCAACAACGGCGAGGATCTCGACGGCGATGAAGAAGACGCTGAAACTTCTAGAAAAAAACTTCGTCTCACTAAAGATCAGTCCGCCGTCTTGGAAGACAGCTTCAAAGAACACAACACTCTCAATCCTGTAAGTCCAAAACCCGACCCGACCCGTTTTGTTTCGAAAATTTTCTCGGCATCCAAACAGAGTTTTATGAAGAGAAAATTTATGGGGGTATTTTGGTAATTTTACGCAGAAGCAAAAGCTAGCGTTGGCTAAACAATTGGGTCTCCGGCCACGACAAGTCGAAGTCTGGTTCCAAAACAGAAGGGCAAGGTGAGGAAATTTCCTTAATCTCCAAGGGTATTTTAGTCCAAATGATAAATAAAATCTAAAATCTAAAATCCCTCCTATTTTTGACCCCTATATATTTTTTTTTTACCAATTTAAACCCATAAATTTTCAGATATTCATAGTTTGACCCATAATTTTGGTTTGAGCAGGACAAAATTGAAGCAAACGGAAGTTGACTGTGAGTTTCTAAAGAGATGCTGCGAGAATCTAACGGAGGAGAACAGGCGGTTGCAAAAAGAAGTTCAAGAACTGAGAGCACTGAAACTTTCCCCTCAGTTCTACATGCACATGGCCCCACCCACCACCCTCACCATGTGCCCATCATGTGAGCGCGTGGCGGTCCCATCCTCCACGTCGGCTCCACTTAACGTAACCAGAATGGGCCCGGCTCAAGCCCAAGCCCAATCCAAGGCCCTTCACGCGCGGCCTATCCATGTCAACCCGTGGGCCCCCGCCATCCCGGCCCGGCCCTTTAACGCTCTCCACCCTCGCTCGTAAATACTTTCAGTTGGGCCGGATTTGGTGGGCCTCTTTTTTGTAATATTGGGCCTATCTTGTCATATTTAAGGTTCAGTAGTTTTATTTTTTCTTTGTAAGGTTTAGGGAAATTGGAGACAAAAAATAAAAAATAATAAAAAAATAAAAAAAGTGAGTTGTAAAGTGAGAATGAGATGCCTAATTTATTACTATTATTATTATTTAATTGAAACTAATTTTAATTGAATCTGATTCCTGTAATTTTTTTATTTAATAATTATTTGATAGTTATTTTATTATTTATATTATCTATTATTACATAGATAAGGTTGGGTGTATTATGTCGGTAATACTATTAAGACAATCATTAATGCCTAAAATGTTTTATTTGGATGTCCTATTTCAAATCTTGACATAGTTGTAATCAATCACAAAGCCCTTAAACTCAGGTAAGTAATGTCTTGACGTTGCTTTGAACCCGTGTAAGTAGCATCTCAGCATTGTTGAAAACCACCCAATAGTGTCATGCTCAATACTATGGTAAATCTTGCTCAACGTTGTCAATTAGCGTCTTGATGTTTGTAATGGGCACACACATTGTTTTTCGTGTGTAACGTCTCGAATCCACTACCAATATCTTGACCGGGTGGGATTTTCATGACTTTTTGCCGTATTTGAAGAGGTAACCTCTCATTATCGCCATTATTACTATAAATTTATCTCTTTCTTTTAAGGCAAACAAAACTTATGATTTATGTTTAGGTGTTAGTACTTTACTTTATATTTATCCTTAAACTCGGGTAACAATCGAACCATGATAGGTTTTAGCTTTTGTCATGATGAGCGACTAATGGTCATGCATCTAGTCCAAGGGTTGGTTCGAGTTTGTTGAAATTTTTATTAATCCAAGCATTCTTTTATGCCGGGCATGTAATGTGGATTGAATTAATGCACTAATGGTTATTTTTGGCTTGTTTCTTTGCTAAATATTATTTTAGGATTCATGATCAAACTAGGTAGCATAAGAGTTGTCATGACTCGTTAATCGAGGAGCAAAAATATAGATCGAGACGTACGGATCATGCAACGCAAAATAAGCATAAATAGAAAAGAATGGAAGAATCACTAACATTTCGCACTATATAAAATTCATAGTAAAAGATAATGATGCATGCTTGTACATGACCGTATACAAAATAGGGGGAGAGGGTTCGGGACCCATGAAGAGGAAAAACCAAAGTACGACAGTTCCTAGTATGAAAACAAGCTAGATGCCTCGAGCCGACCCCTTTGCCTCAGACAGTAAGCAAGTAAAAGAAGGGGTGAGTATAATAGTATACCTAGTAAGCAAATCTACTTGTAGGGTCTTATCGCAATCTTGTCCTAATGGGTCACCACAGACTTATCCTTTCAACTCTAGGGACAACTCTTGTCACCCGTGATTGGGGAAGCCACTCCCCCTGTGCTGGCCAACTCCTAAGGCTACATGAATTTATTGGTTTGTCATTGATGTAAAGCTCAAGAAAAATTGACTGATTATTTGAAAGAATACAGAAATTTGAGCTCTCTTGGAATTGACTTTTTATAAACACTTGAATTTGTAGCAGATATTGTTGTGCGCCGAAAGCGGAACAAATATACTCACAACACCAAATTTACTCCAGGCATACAATATTGCACACAAAGCTTAATGATTTCAACAGCAGAAAGAATGACATTATATAGCCTTCTGCTAAACCTAAATATAAATTAACAGGCCTAAAAATTATTAGCAAGACCTTGAGAATAGGTCTTGGTCCTAGAGAATAGGGCTTATGACAGTGCTTAACAGATATTAGTGTGTAAAAGCTTGGTTGGTGAGATTGCTTGATTTGAAGAGATTTAATGAAAAAATCTATTGAAAACTTGTGAAATTCAAGATTATTGGAAGGTCGGATCTATTTAGGTCTAAATATGACTGCATGTCTGATGTCACGATCATATTTGTCCAAGACATTTTGTCTTTAGCCGCATGTCGGATGTCTCAATCATGCTTGTCGAAAACGTATTGTCTATGGCTGCACACCCATTTCAAACCTTTTTTTATGTGTGGTTCCACCATGTAATAGACATACTTTAATGGTCCTTAAGCTCAACCCATGGACTTATTTAAAAAGTACTTTTAAACCATAAAGATTGCTTAGAACATTGTTTTGTCTATTTAATATTAAATTTTTAGTTAAATTTATATTTGATATAAAAAAATTAATAAGATAAAAAGATAAAAGATTTTTCTGTACTGTCTTACTAAAAGCCCCACCAAAAGAAAGCATTTTCAAACGCAGCCTTGGTCAAATTTTAGCTGCTTCATTGGATTTTTAATAAGCTCCCAGCTGTCATTCATTTTGTAGCATCTTATTTCGACACTAATTTTGACTCAAAATATTCAAAAATATGAAAAAGAAGAATAATTTACGATGCTATTCAATATATTAGGAATCACTAACTCCACAATGTCATGATATTGTCTACTTTGAGCATAAGCTCTCGTAGTACCAATAAATATGTATTTTGCACGATTTCCTCCCAACAATCCTCAACACGATATAACTTTGTAGTCAAAACATTCTATGTTCATATATATATAATTATATATAGAAAGAAATAGTTAATCAATAGTTAATCAAGTGAAACAACTTAATCCATCTAATTTGATAGATGATAAGCTCTCAAAACACATGACATACAACTAAACTGATTATTAGCCTGGTGTATTTCAGTTGCAGATCAACAAACACTAATGGCAGATGCCTGCTGAATTACAATTACAGCATCTGTCATATATCCAGAGGGGGTGATTTTGGAGAAGAAGAAACACTTTCCAGCATTTGAACTTGGTGATCAAAGAGGAAAATCATGTAAAAACAAAGAAAAGGGGAGAAGAAAAACAAAAAAAGGTGTTAGAAAAATACCCTATAAACGTCAGTTGAAGGATTTGAAGTTCAAATTTTGATGAACTTACTGAACATGTTTCAAACTTCAAGCTTGCCTTGAAGTGTTCCTACCAATTTGTCCACTTGATTTCTTGATCAATTCGATTCTTTGAAGCCTGATTTGCTCTCTGAATTTGGCTATGAACTCATCAGCCTTTTTATCTACATCTGGTCCTCCGTCATTAGCCATATTGCTAGAGCCTGCTTCTTCAGAACTTGATTCATTGAAATCTCTCCTTTTCACATTGAAAGGTTCTCCGTTATCTTCCCGGATAAACTGCCCCACTACATCGTCTTCTTCTTCTTCGTTTTCCATGTCGTCGCCTGCTTCCATGGCTAGTTTTTCAACTAGGTCTGCTTTATCTTCATCGGGATACTCTATGGGGTTTTCTTCAAATTCTTGGGCATGGGCATTCTGTTCCATCTTCCCCTTCAATTGATCAGTTCCTCCAAATTCTCTCCCTCTTCTTGGTGGCTCATTCACAACTTCTCCTGGTCTGATTGTTCTAACAGATTTCCCCATTGATTGACCATCTACATAATTTCTAGGCAGAACTTCAGCACTTGAATTAGCATCCATCATCAGATCGATTTCATCTCCTGTATCACGAATGGATCTTCTAGGTTTGCTAATAAGGCTTCGTCTCAAATCCTTTTGATGAGATACATCACTTTCATGCAGCCAAGAGTTTGGTTTCATTGAGGATATTCTTCGAACAGTTGGTGGGGGCGGAGGAGGAGGCGGAGGTGGAGGAGATGAATAAAAGTTCTTCTTCCTCACCAAATCCTCAGCACTCTTGGCCTGTAATTCAGGTGACACAGTAGGAGAAGGAGATGGTTTCCTAGGAGATGGAGAGGGAGATAGTTTCTGAGTGCTAATGGCACTGGCTCGAGAAGACCTTGAAGTTGGAGGTCTTGACGATCGAGAATCGATCCAACTCGATTCAGATTCCTCCATGGGAGCAGCAGGAGAATACAAAGGAAGGTTATCAGCTTCTTCTTGCACCTCCTTCCACTCCGATCTCGAGCGCCATGGAACTGGGGAAGGAAGAACGATTTTCTCATTCAACTCCTCATTCGAACTCCTCATAGGCATACTCAAAGATCTTCTCGAACTCACTCTCCGCTTAGATCCAGAAATGGTTTTATACTCTTCGTCCACAACAACACGAGATTTCAAGCTACGAACAGGAAGAAGCAGAGGTTTCTCACTCCTAACTCTCTGCTCATTAACAACAGGACGTTCTTCAGCAACAACGACAGATTCATTCCTAAAATACCGATTACTCCATGTTTGAACCTTACTTTCATCAGGTGAAGACACCGATTCATCATTAGCAGACGGAGTTCCAGGCTCATCATCAAAAACAGACGAAACATGAAGCAATCGAGAAACATAAGATTGAACATTATCAAATCTAGAGACACTAATTTCATCCTCTATCTCGTCAGTTCTCCGACTAAAGAGACCGTAAGAAACAGCGATTCCAACGAAAAGAAGGTGCAGAAGCTCCCAGCTTCTGGTGAGTAACGTTTGATTAATGAACTCAGGGGCTTGGGAGGGGACTAGAGGGAGAATCACCAGAAAGAAAATGGCCGTTAAAACTTTGTACAAGATATGACTATGGAACTTACTTGGAGTAGGCTGAGTTTGCCCTGCCGCGAGATTCGAGGGTTTGGCATGAACGTCTGATTCCGCCATTGAAGAAGGATGGAGAAAGAGATTCTTATTCTACTTGGACTTCGATGAACGGAGGGTAATGGAGTTGCAGAAAAGGGATGAAGAAGATGAAGATGATGAAGATGAAGATGATGAAGATGAAGATGATGAAGATGAAGATGATGAAGATGAAGATGATGAAGATGAAGATGAAGACTTAATGGCGAAGAAAAAAGATAGAGATAGAGAGAGAGTTGCAGAGAAGGGGAAAGAGTTTGGAGAAGGAACAAAGAACAATTTGAAGCTTTTGTTTTCGAACCACTTTTTAACGGTTCCTTACCAATTGACCAATATACCCTTCCCTTTATTATTCTATTTTATTTTTGTTAATAATAATAAATAGATAAATTACAAATTTTAATTTATCCGTTACTAAAAAAATTCTAAAATTTAAATGTTATTTCATGGATCTATAAATTTTTTATTTTTTATTCAACATTTATTTAAAATATAAAAAATAAAAATTTAATATTCAATTTTATATATTAAAATTTATAGATCAAATCTAATCTAAAATTTAAAAAATTATTAAATAGTTTATAAATTAAAATTTTAATTCAATTCAAAAGCGAAAAGTCCATTTTAACCTTGCGCTATGGACAAATCTGCCATAGAAAAACATGGGCTTTTAAGTAATGAACCATAGTTTTTAAGAAAAATAAAAATAAAAGAAATTCATAGGGATAATGAAATAATAATTGGAAAAAAGGAGGTTATAATCGGAAAGTAAAGATAGGGGTAGAAATGGCAATAGAGGAAAAGGGAGGGGGCAAATGGGCTGCACAGAAATTATCAGGATTCTTCTTTTGGACTGCCTACGCTAGCTTTTTAGTGGAAGCTCAATATTTAAAATTAAAAAATTATTCTAAATTTTAATTTTAATTTTAATTTTTTTTTAAAAGAAAATTAAAATTACAACTTTAGGATCTTGTCTGTCTGTCTACTCAGCCTTCTCTTAAAGACCACGCAGACTCTTCTTCCTGACTTCATTTTTAGGTTAATCTAACCATTTTCCATGCGGTTCTCGATCGGTTCCATATATTCGACTAATTTGATTTAAAATAGTTCAGGGACTACATTGAAATTAACGTTGGAAAGTTCTGGTTTGGTTAGGGTAGCTCGGTTCATCAGTTATTTGAAATAACCGGTTACAAATACGATTATTATACTCAAATCAATTTAAATCAAATATATATGAGTGAAATTGAGTCGATTCAATTAGGGTGGATTGGTTTATAAGTTATTTGATTTTGGAGATTGGTTTAAATTCGTTCGTTTTATATTGAAGTAGTTAGAACCTAACCGTTTGATCGCATGTCTTTTGGATTAAATTGAACCACACATATATGAAAGATAAAAAGAATGAACATGCTTAGATTCTATTATGGTATATTAGTTTGTGAGTTTCTTAGCTCTGAAGTTATGTTGTAACAGTCCAAGTCCACTCCTAACAGATACTTTTCCTTTTGAGATCCTCTCAAGGTTTTTAAAATGTGTCTGCTAGGGAGTGGTAATGTTTCTTTTCTCTCTTTAATCAATGTGAGATCTCACAGACCCTCTTTGGGGCACTGCATCATTGTTGGCACATCGTCTGGTGTCTAGCTTCAATACCATTTGTAACAATCCAAGCCCACCGCACACACCCCTCTTCAGTGCCCTGCATCCTCCACCGCTCGGTGTTGACTCTAATACCATTTGTAATAGCTCAAGTCAACCGCTAAGCAAATATTATCTTATTTGAGCTTTTCTTTTTCGGATTTTCCCTTATAAAGAATGTTTTATTCCCTCCTGTTCAACTTTAACTAATCTCTCTAGACAATCATTTGACTTTACTACATTCAGTTGACATGGGTGACACCGTAGACTGAACTCACTTCCTCTAATTTTCTCAAGATCGTGATGACTGCCAGTTCAACTCAACATCATTAAGTCGTAAGTTCTTCAACTCAATTGAACAAATCAAGCGAGACAGCTAGCACACGAGCACTTTTTCTCATCTACTTGAGTAGCTCGGGATCAAAAATATTGTAGATAAAGTTAAGGTTTATATTCTTTTTGTTTAGCACAATATTGAATTGAAACATAGGCCAATGAGGAAAAGAATTCCTCCTCTCAATGGACAAAGAATCAAAGAAGAATATATTCTATAAGTTCCATTGGATTTGAGTTTGATAGCCATTGGTGATAAGGGAGAACTCTTTCATCTCTTAATATGCAAATCTATGCCTTTTGTTTTCGAATTTATTCAATCAATTGAAAATGACATTTAATTATTATTCTCATTTCTTCCCATATTTTATTCTTATGGCATGCCTTTCGTACGTATTACGTCATAGATAAAATTCGATGACTCAAAAATCTGATCAATTCAATCTAACTCGTACGATTCAAATAAATAAAAATTTTATGAATTTGATGGTCATAACATACTAGATTGAGTTGAATCGAACCATCGTGAATTTGTTCTCACTTTTTTAAAATATTTTTTTACAATATAATTTATATATATATATATATATATATATATATATATATATATATATATATATAATTATTTTTATTATTTGAAAGGTGATTTTTTAAAAATATATTCTAATTAAAATTTTAATTTTAATTACATTTTAAAAAATACATAAATATATATTTTATAAACTAACATTTTACTTTTATTAAAATAAAAATTTAAATAAATAACTCGAACAACATGAATCAACTCGGAGCCGAGTTGGGTTCGATTTAACACTCCAATAATTGAAATTAATTTAAAAAATGTGTACAAATATGGGCTGGGGATTCAGTATTTCAATGTGGACTAGACATTAACCCAAAACACTAACATGGGCTCTTGGGCTTTGACATTGGGCCAACTAATGTGGCCCAATGTTAGAAGCATGGTAGTTATAGACTATAATTAAGATAAAATTGGTAACTAAAAATTGTAAATAAAATAAAAAGTATTAGGGTGTTTTTTTTAATGTAAAAATGTATTAGGGTTAATTAAATATTAAGTTAATGAATAATTGTTGAGTATCGTAATCAAGGGTTACGTGAATTACATACTGACTATAAATACTTAATTTATTTGTTTTTTTATTGAAATACATATTTAAGAATATTTCGTCGTAATCGTAAATTTAATTATTTTAAAAAATATGAATTTTCTCGTTATAAATATTTATTATAAACATTTTTAAATCATATCATCACTTAATTTTTCGTTAATTGATATGATTGTTTAATTGAAATATTTAAAGCAATACAATTATTAATTTAGAGTTTTAATTAATACTATAAAATTTTAAAAAATAAATAAATAATTAAAAATAGTTTTGAGGATAATAATATCATATTTAATTCTAAACACAAATTATCAAAGAAATCCATCCAAACTGATTGCCTTCATTCCATTGGTTCGTACGGTATTCATTATTAATATTGCCATTCAAGCGGGAGAAATTTTAAACTGACGCACTGTGAGTTTTATTTTCATGAATGCAAAACGACCAGCATACACGTGGCTGTAAACCAATGCGCTGCAACACAATATTTCTGACCGTCACGTTACTTTAACATTACATTATGAACCAATTCGTCGATTCTTCTATGAGCATTTGCCAGATTTCCTCTCTGTCTCTCTCTCTCTCTCTCATTAATCGGTTTCAGAGAATGTTTAGCAAATGGTTGGAGTAGAATCCAATCCATGGTAACTTTTCAATCCCTAGCCAAAATCTAGGGTTCTGTTGTCGAAATATTCCGTCGTTTTCCCCCCAATTTCGTTCTTCCCCAAATCGATTGTCATTCGTGTTGATCAGTTGCAGTTTCCATCTCCGCCGATCCTGTTCTTGATTTCTGGCTTCCAGAAGGGTGGCGACTTCTGTGAGAATTTCGTTTTTCGCATTTCTCCTTCGTGATCTTTCTGGAGTTTGGTTTAGGAATGAATGTTAGGTTTTCGCGATGGGGGATTTTGGTCGCTGGTGTATAATCAAATCATGCGTGTTGGTTGAGAATTGTTCTATTTAGGGCAAACGGGTGGGGATTGTTGGTTTGTTTATGTGTTGGAGATTATTGGTGTTCTTTGACAAGTCGGTTTATTGTAATTGATTTTTTGGGGGTTTTTTAATTTGAGGATATGCATATTGAGGAATTGAAGGAAGGGGAGTTGCAGAGTGGGGAAGAGGGAAATTCAGGTGCTATTGTAAGTTATTTGGAGGACCAGAGCGTTATTAGATCTGATGTTAAAAGGATCGTTGTTGGAGTTGGGGCTCGTGTTCTTTTCTACCCGACTTTGCTTTACAATGTTTTCAGAAATAAGCTTCAGACGGAGTTTCGTTGGTGGGACAGGGTCGATGAGGTATATATATTTTTGATCTTGTCAATTTCTTCCCAAACCAGATGATAAATGAATGCATGATTGTCCGAGAGCATTTTTTTTCTTTTTCAGTTTATATTGTTAGGTGCTGTTCCATTCCCTGCCGATGTTCCCCGTTTGAAGGAGGTTGGCGTTGGAGGAGTGATAACACTAAATGAACCATATGAGACTTTGGTTCCTTCAACTCTATATCGTGTAGGTATCTTTTGAATTTGCTTGTCTTGTGCTAAATGCATTCTGTTATATTCTCTAGAGTCGTGTAAAGTGCAATGTTTTCCGAATCTCGATGCACACTAAATCACAATAGCTCTCTGGTTGCGCTTGTTCTCCGAGGCTTTATATGAGGTACAAAAAAAAGCAATGAAAAAACAAAATAGTATTACAGATGATGAAAAGCTTAAGAAAACAGAGCTTTTATTCCACATTGCAAGGAAAGATGATTAGTTTTGAAGGATATTCTAGGTTTTCTTCCTTTAACGTAAAGCATGGAGCATGGGCTGAGACCCAAGGCACTTGTCTCAGTGGGATTTCTAAAAACACTGGTAAAGAGTGAAGTTAGGGAGGAAATTACCTTCCATGAATTTCAAAAGGTGCTGCTAGAAGCTAATTTGGTGTCCTGTTTGTTTGGATGTAGTCTATACTTGCAATAATTTGGTGCCACTACCCACTCAGATAAGAAGGCTACTTCTTACCGTCAAGATTCCCTATCTCTAATTCTATCTTCCAGTTTCCTCACTGGGATAGATTGTCTTCCTATTAACTCAATGCATCCGACCCCCATCTTCCATACCATTCTAATTCCTAACGTGTCTCATACATCTGTTTTTGATGAATGTCTCAAAACTCTTTCCAGGGACCTCTTAATGTCAATTGGACTTTGAAAAGGGAGAGAAAGTAAAGTGAGATATTACTCAACACCAAATAAGTCAGGGGAAGTGTTCCCCCCTTCAAAAGAGGTTTTCCTCTCATAGGAGAATCTCTTTTGGACCTTAACCATAGGGTCTTGAAAGAGGATGCTGTAGGATTGTGTCCTAAGGGTACATTGAGATACAAACAAGGTAAGTAGGCATCAACAGACCGATCTTGGTTGGTAATTGCAATTTTCACCAACCATTGTGCACTTTTCCTTGTTCACTTTCAAACTAGATAACAAGCAAATGTTAGGGTTAAACCTAATTTAAAAGGGTCTCCTTTCCAAACATTGGAAGATAATGTCATATTTCACATTATCCTTCCTAATCTTGAAACCCTCAATTACACCTTTCTTCATACTCCTTGAAGTTGAACTACAAAGAATATCAACCACAAGAATAAAAAAGAATGGAAAAAGGATCTACTCGCGTAATACCCATAACAGGAACCCTCTTGTACTACAATTAGCTAAAACTGGAAAGTTAGTGAGTACAAGAGTTTCCAGTCTATGTTCTTCATTTGTGACCGAAACCTTTCCTCCAAAGAAAAAATTTCAAGAAATCCAAATCCACGTGGTTGTACACTTTCAAAATTTGTCTACTGACAACAAAAGCTCCTCGAAAGGGTAAGATTGAGTCCAGTAACGCTTTTTTCTTCCAACGTGAAGGGTTACTTCAAAGCATCCTTCTTTCCGGACTGGCCATCCTTTGTAAATAAACCTAATCTCTATAGGCAAGTTCACTCTAGACTTGGGGCTTATTCTCATCCAAACTATCCAAAAATGTCACTTTATTTATATCTCCTGTTTTTAATTGCATCAATCTCCAAATACTCTCCTATTTCAATCTTTCAAACTTTGAGCATGTTTAACCTCATTCGTATATCTCTGTAAGCAAGTATTTTCCTCAGCATCTCTGTTATAAACCCACGTTTGCTTCATCAATCTAAAATCCTCCCACCTCTCTTCCACATTGGCAGACCAACAAGATATCGGAAGGACTTGCAAAAAGGCTTTGAGAGACTTCCAATGCTAAATCCATACTACCTGTAGGATTGCTGTTATCATTTTGATATGTGCTCTTCGTAGTGAATTATGGTCTTCTGTACATTTCTTTCCATGTTTGAATTTGGTCTGCAATGGACAATCCAAGTTTAAGTATTATCTGAGATGAGGTTGTTTCAGCTGATATTTAGTGACCTGATATTATTTCTTAGCTTGATTATTGTAGCTATTTTTCCTTAGCCTTCCTGTGCCTTAAGTTGATTTGAGAACGAGTTTTGCTCTTTTACTGTTGCAGGATTATGACATTGATCATCTGACCATTCCAACTAGAGACTATTGCTTTGCACCTTTATTGAGTGACATTTGCATTGCTACTAATTTCATCCACAGTACGTATCTTATACTAAATTCATTCTGCTTCCATCCTCAGGATGCTCATTTTTATTTTATAGTTTGGGAAAAGGTAGTTGTCCATGTTTATTAAATGAGAATGTGAACCTTCAAGTTTATGGTATCAATCAAACTGTTCATGGGTGAATAATTTCATTTTATGCTGTTATCAAAGAAAATGCATCGCACGGACAGACTACATATGTTCATTGTAAAGCTGGACGAGGGCGTAGCACAACCGTTGTTATCTGCTATTTGGTAAGTTTTTGAATGCTAATAAAAGAACCTTAATTCTTAAGTTTTAAAATCAAGAGCCTTCGGTTTTCTGAGGCTTTGTGGTGTTGTACAGGTGCAATACAAGCAAATGACGCCAGATGAAGCTTACAAACACGTGAAGTCAATCAGGCCAAGGGTGCTTCTAGCATCATCACAGTGGCAGGTATTGCTTCAATCCTGTCTGCCTGATTTTAAATTCTAAATGGTTCTTTCCTTTCTGGGAGATGTGGACTCGGACTTGTTTTTTTGTGTCCATGTACAGTCTTTCATTATTCTCAATGACAGCTCAGTTTCTCATGAAAAAGAATTCTAAATGGTACAGCCTTCGTATGAAGGAATAACCTTCCACTTTTTGAGCTCATCTCATTGTTTCTGTGGTTTGGTTTCAAGTATATTGAGTTATCTGCTATTTATTTATTCACCTTTCTACATCGTCACTTGTTAACTTCGGGGGTTGGGGGTGTTAATATTTTAAGCTGATATTGTCAGTTTGGGCCAAATTTTGACCTGAATGGTGCTGCATTACAGCTTCTGGCTGCATGCCATATTTCATACCCCACTTTTGCATCCTTTCATCCCAGTTTGGACTTGATGACTATTCTTTTAGTACATGCATGTTAATCGCGGGTTTTCAATTGCAGGCTGTCCTGGAATTCTACCACATGGTTGTTCAGAAGGATGTTTCCTTCTGTCACATAGATGATCTAGGAAAGAAAGTATCTGGATCATCACATGATCTTATCACATTTGATGATAGTTCTGTAGTTGTTGTAAAAGGATCTGATCTCGAAGGATATGACCCAAGTATCAGCCAAAGTGAAATGGGTGATATCTGGGCAGATTTAAGTGTGGTCTGCAGAGTTCGTGTTGCTGGTCAGGCAGCCCTCACAAGATTCTCCTGTTTGTGGCTCAGCTATCGAGAAAAACACCATAGCAAGAAAATTTCAGGAGATGATCTAGGTGTTGGGAAGGGCTGTTCACTCAGTGCTGCTCATTTGGAAGGGTTCAGTGTGGACATCCATGTCTATTAAACCAATTCAGAGGTCACAAGTTTTCTGTACTTAGCTCTTATATATGCTAAAATATAGTGAAATATGTATCGGGCAGATTTGAAATTGTTAATATCATGTACCTATAAGTGAGATTATCATGTCCAATACGTATTCATCCTGAACATGTTAATGCAATTCTTATGTTTCATGAATTCGACTTTTTTCATTGAATTCTGACTCAGTCTCTTGGAATACATAGGATATATACTTCCATTTTTTCCATATATATTTGTAAAAATAGGCTTACATGGTAAATTAGGATTCAGAGAGCTTGGTTTTGTGAATTATCTTATTCTTTTCTTTACTCTTAATTTAATCAATACTGGTGGTCATTGACTTTCCCACATCCATCTGACTGATTCTTATCCTTGCAAGTAGGGTACCACATACTTTCTCATGTCACTGTTGGAAATTTTAACATGATCTCCAGCAACGCTTATGTACTTCACTCTCCCTGCTTTATCCAAGGTTTTCAATCCAATCCAGTCTTCAATGTAAAGTTTTGTCTGCAGAAATCAGCAGAAGTGATTACATTGCATATACATTCATAGATTGTCATAAGCACTATAGATGTTAGATGTTTTCGATGCCATTAGTTCAGTTTATCGTGGGTCGATAATAGTTTTTTTCCCATATTCTATAGGTTTACAAAAACCAGATGTAGTATATAGTCAAACGGTTGCCATGTGAGTTAGCTTGATACCTGTTGTGGAGGTATAGTTGAATTAAAAGCCCCATCTTTGTAGTAACCAAACCAAGAGGTTTCTCTGGGGACCAAAACCGTGTCGTGCTCAAACTGGACAAACAAATACTGATTAAATAAGAGTAGGCGATATCGATTTGCTGATTTCTCAAAGAACTGCAAGATGTCAATTGTCATGAATGTAAAGCCTTTCAAACCTACCATAATTAGCACCAAGTTTTGTAGGCTACTGAATCGTTGCTTATAGGTTGAGTTTCTCGCTTGTGGGAGTTCATTGTTGAGCTTAGGAAGAAACTTGCACTTCTCCAAATATTTTGGGATAGCCTGGACGGAAAATCTAATGTGTCATTGTTGTAGTGAGAAACAATATCCAAATGGAAACAAGAACATCAAAGTGTAGTGGCAAAAAGCAAAATTTCAGCATCAAATATGAAGCTTTAGAAACTAGTGCTCACGTTTGGTAATTTGAGAAAACCACTGGGGGCTAGATGATCCTGTGACAACCAACAGAGAGGGAAAAACATGTTTAGAGCTGATGGATTGAAGCAAAAAAGAGGTAAAAAAAGAAGCTATAGGTGAGTTGTACTTGAACATAATCACTGTAGATCTCCGACTTGATTAGTTCGTCTGCAAAGCGACAGAAAATAGCAGACTGCAGAAACCAAAAATCATTGAAAATGGCTATTATTAACATAGCTTAGATGTGATTGTATCCAAATTTCTCAAAACAAAAATCCAGAAACTGAAGAAGAAAACTTACACCACAGAGAGGAACAGAAGCAATGCCAGCATGAGGGCCTGCTAAAGATATGAAGTTCTTGACCTTTAGACATAGACATGAACAGTGAGGAGATATTTGAGGCAATAACAGAGTTAGAAAAGATCTTAATAGGTTCTCACTGGTGGTCCTCCATCACAAAACTCAACAACTCCTCGGCCTATCAAGTTACCCTGTTCAGCCAAACACAAGTTCATAATAGTCTCTTGCAAAAACTTCTAGTTTGGATCCAAGTTTAATGATTGATTACCTGGGACAGACCAACTATATTGTAACCTTTTTTCAGTTCCTCCATTTTCTTCACCTGCATTGGAAATTCAAACAGTAAGATACTTCGGAGATTAGGTGACTAACGTAGCCATGAGGATTTTTGCACCTTCTCACAAACAATTCCAGCCTGAAAGCATGAGAAAACTTGGTTAGAATGAGTACCTCTAATTCTTATTACTTTGCAATATTCAATATGGAAAAGAGAAAAAAAAAAAATGAAAAAGGTCTTGCCTGTTTCTCAAGGGGCATAAACCAAGAATCCAACACTCCATTCCCGACTTCACTGGTAAAATTAGCAATTGAGAAAAAAACCCATTATTCTTCCTCAAAAAAGAAACTTTAATTACTGAAATTTGCAGCAAAATCAATAGAAAAACGAGCTCTGGATTGCATATTTAAAAAAATCTGAAGAGTTGCATTAAAAGATAAAAGAAAGCCAGCAGGAAAAATGGAAAGATGGATACTGTTTAAACATACAGGCAATATCCTTCAACACCAGAATAGTTACTCAGTAGTTCAGTGAAGTTTTTAAGCCCTTGACTTGAGCACTGATTTCCTATGCCTGCCACGACCACAAAACAGAACTCCATCACAAACAAAAGCCATAGAGCCCTTCAAGTATGGTATGAAATATAAGAACTACATGCTATTAATCTCTGGTATGCAGGCACAGTGGAGCTAATTATAGTGTTTTTATTAGCCCCACAAGCCTTTTGCAGTGATTGGAGCCTCGCTTTTTTGAAGCAAGGGGTAGGATTTGCGTCTTAGTATGCTTTTTAAAACACTGGTATGATATTATCCACTTTAAATTTAAGTTAACTTAGGCATTTGAATTGTAAATCTGAAAATAAAACTATGTTATCCTTGAATATTCTTACACTAACAATTAATATGGACAAATATTGTCTTCTTCGGGCTTTTCCTTTTGGGCTTCCTCTCAAAGTTTTAAAATGCATCTGCCAGAGAGTAGTTTCCCCACCCTTATAAAAAATGCTTCATTCTCCTCCCCAACCGATGTGAGATCTCACCGACTATATTTGCATCTTCAATGAATTTTAAACAATTGGCGATGATCTGAGGGTGGTCGAGCTAGGTTGAGCACCTAGCACTTGACAATGGCCATGCCTAGAGCATTCAAGATGACAATCTCTCACAATGTGCCTTCTTGTTACCTTATCTCTCACAATGTGCATTTTAGTGTGATCGGAGGTGAAGTGACAATGCTAGACGTAGCGACAAAGGGCGTTTGGCAGACACCAGACCACTATCTATCTTCATTGGTTTGGTAACACTTACCCTTTTTCCTCATTACAATGAGCATGTTTCTTATGCAAACATTGATATCATTTGTTGAGTTCTGGGAACAAACTCATATCCATAGAAGCTCCCCTCATAGAGAAGACAATCCATCTTAACTAAACCAACCATACCCCACAGAGTTTCAAAGTTACTTCAAGCACACGAAAGTTCAAAAACAAATACAAATGCCACAAATCAAAGTAAACCCAACAAAGAAACGAGCTCAAAATCCCATTGATTCACCACGATCAACCCAGAAAACAAGAACAATTCAAAAACCCCATCAGAGAGTACCCCATCAGAGAGTAAATCGAAAAACAGAGGCAAATAAGAACAGAGCCAGATTAGATGTTACCATGGAGAACAACGAAGGGCAGTGAAAGAGAAACCGGAATCGCAGCGAAAACCAGAATGAAGGAGAAAAAGGGCATTAAAGAGGGAGAATCCATGGGGATTGTTGGGGAAGAACTTGAGATAACATGGAGAAATTTATAGAAATGGGTGAGAGCTTGAGAATCCAGCAATGGCGTGTGAGATTCATCCTTGTCTTCTCCCCAAGATTTTTGAGAGCGGTTTTCACACAATATCGTCTGAAAACAAGACTTGGGAATTGGAAATTTGATCGCATTTAGTGAGTTATGGTTGATGGTTAAAAAGGCGTGGTGGTGCGTTGTGGGCATTTATTGGGTGGCCATTGGCTAATATGGCCCAGTTCCAAATTCTCAAACAAAGCAATGATCTGCTTGACATTAAAGATGTTCATTACAAGGCTCTTAATTAATTATGCTTAACTAAGTTTTTACTTTTTAGTTTTTAATACGAGGGTAAAGATTCGAATTTCCCGACTCAGATTTATGGGGTTCTAAGCACAAGGTGAGTTTACTTGTTGATGCCAATTAGGTGATTTGTGGACTATTGTTGTTCTCCATGGTACTTTAAGACTAGTAAGTTTTATGTTACGTGAATTGAAACTTGCTTGATCTGTTTCCTTCTTCGATTCTTCCTTCCCCCTCTTAGTTTCTTTTCCTCCACGAACCACCACGAACTCTTGGGACAATCTGACCATGTAAAGATTGTGAAGCTTTCGTTAGCGTTTTCGAGAAGAAATCGATGATTACCGTGAAAATTCTCCTCCTTAAGTGACATGGCCTTCAATCATTCCCAAGTATCGAATTTCCCATGGCAACAGTGTCTTGGTCTTCTCCCTTAGGTTCTCTTCTTCTCTAGCTCGCCTCTCCTTGCTTTTAAACTACTTTAGACGTCCAAATCTGTCGAAATCTTAAATGGATCGGGGTTTCCTCTATAAGTTCTCATACCCCTTTGTTCATCCTTTTCACTGTGGAGGCCGCTAGCTACCATGTACGACTAGGGTCTCCATACCCTCCTACTTCATATGTATATACACGTCATCACTTCCCATCTTTATTTATTTCAACATGTACGGGTTATTACATGAACTTTTGAAAGTAGTATTAATACGGTTACCATTTATTAAAAAAAAAAAAGTTAAAAAGTTTATTATGGTCAACATATAGAAAAAAATTGTTTATCACTCATTAACCATCTAATTTTAAGGATATTAATGGGAAAATCTAAAAAAATTTATGTCACATCGTTCGAATAAAATTAAACAAAATTAGTATTTATCCAATTTAAACATAGTTCAACTTATCAAAATGTATATTTTCGATCAAAAATTCAAACAGAAACCTCATCTGATCTAGGCTTTATTGCTTCATACGAATGCTCGAACACCTTTTTCTGAGCTTCTTCCTTCAAAAATTTTTGTTTTTTTGAGTGACAAATCTTTATGATCACCATTAATGATATTACCACCATAGCTACAAGTAAGCTAACGCCAAGTACTGCACAAAAATAAAAAAAAAAATACAAATTAAAATAAACTTAATTTCCTTTTTCATAATATTATAATTATTTTAAAAGTAGGTTATATAAACTTAGGATAAAGCTAAGTTTATTTAAAATTGAAGCAAAACATTCTTTGGAGATATAAATTATTATTATTATTTTAATTTGGTGAGTCAATAGGAATATGAACATTTAAATGATGGACTAAAAATATTTATTTATTTATTTATTTTTATATAATTCTTCTAGAAAATGAAGTTTAAAGGTTAAAATCAATGAACCTTTGACCCAATTAATAATATTGCATTAAAAAATAAGGACTTCGAATATTCAAACACAGTTTTTATTTATTTATAACATTTTAATTAATAAATAAATAAATAAATAAATAAAGCAATTAGCAAAGCTCCACAGGGATATGATTGCAAGTGACATCATCAAGGGACTGTTTTAATAGTTTACTTTACAAAAAGGGGTATTTCTCTAAAAAAAAATATTTGTAGGGGTCATTTGAAATTATTCTCTGGGGACTATTTGGTCAATTTATTTTAGTAAATATTTAGGACCTCACAATAATTTATAAATTAATTAGAAATTATTCTTATATTCATTAACAGAAAAAAAAAAAAAAAAAAAAAAAAAGACAGAATAAATTAAGGGAAAAATAATTTCTTTTAAATAAAAAGCTTAAACTTTTGTATTATTTTAAAATTTTTCTTAATTTTAAAATATCTATTTTAATTTAACTCTTTTATTTTTCTATTATTATTTAATATATATATAATCTTATAATTAGAAGGTTAGTAATTTATCCGAACTTAATAATTATTTTTTTAATTTTTTTAAAAAATAGATATAAAATATGAATCTACATGAAAACTCAAATAAAATAATTTCAAAAATTTAAAGGACTAGAATGCAAATAACCAAAGTTTAATTTTTTTTTAAAAGGGTATTAAGAAAAAGAACCCCAAATACAAGCAATTAATGAAAAAAAAAATCAAAAGTTAATTGAATTAAATATAAAGAAAAGAGAAAAAAAAAAAAAAATTCTTTTCCTTTTTGTTCTTTTTAGTTAGTGACCAAAAGAAGGAAAGAATGGAATGTTACCTTCATAATTAGGTGCTTTATAAAGACACCCTCTTTGGGACTCTGTTCTTCCTTCATCATCATTAGGTCCCCAAGTTAATGAGAGTCCAAAAGAGCCATCATCAAGATAAGGGCTATACTCAAATGGGATCTTCACTTTCTTCACTTCCTTGCAAAACCTTGGTGTTTCTTCCATTTCCCTCACAACATACACGTAGTAATCTCGAGGTCGGCTCAAGCACGGTATCGGAGGTGACGGGGTCAACAATTTCGACGTGCAATTGAGGTATTTGTAATCTCGAACGACGTAAAAGTATCGAAATGGGGTTAGGGAGAGGTTTAGTTTGAGAAACGCGCCGTGAACGCAACCATTGAGGTCTATAAGATCGAGTCGCTTTTTGTCGTAGGAAATGGATTTGATTGATAGAGAATCGTAGGATTTGAAGTGGATTCTTGTTGTGTTTGATGAACATGAAAGGTTGAAGGTGAAAGGAAGATGGATTGGTGGGCTGCCATGGCTGCAATGAGTTGTTGTTGTTGGTGTTGTTTGAGCTTTAATGGAGATGGGAGAGAGGAGGAAGAAGATGAAGAAGAAGAGTGCTGAGATTTCCATGGTGGAGAGGTAAAGAGAAAGGGAGAGTCTTTGGGAGCTTATATAGAGTGATGGGGATTGCTCTTTTTTGTTCTTTTGTCACATTGACTTGAATTAACGGTTAAGTTTATGTAAATTTTCATCGGTTAAATTATCTGTTTAGTCCTTACTTTTTTTTTTTTTGTAAAAGTTCACGTCTACCGTTAGTAAATATTGTCCTTTTTTAGCTTTTTCTTTCCGGTCTCTCAAATTTTTTAATACAAGTATACTAGTGAGAAGTTTTCACACCCTTATAAATAGTGTTTTGTTCCTCTCTACAACCGATTTAGGATCTCACAATCTACCTCCCTTCAGAGCTTCAGTGTCCTCACTAACGTTTGTTCTTCTCTCTAATCGATGTGGGGTCTCACGGTTCTGATAATAAGTGTCTTGTCATTTACAGTTCTACGAAATAAAATATGTAATTTAATTTAATTTAATTTAATAAAAATGAAGAAGTTTAGTGTATATTTAATATATGAGTTAGCTCGATTATTTTATTTATCTTCTAAGTCAAATTAGATGGCTGCTTAAAGCAATTAGACAATACGTTATTAATGTTTTATAATATTTTTTTTTAGGTTATTAAGAAGTTTTCTCGAGTCAAGTTTATTTAATTTAGATTAAAAAATTAAGCTTATATTTATAAGATGTTTAAAATTGATGACTCGAAAAATTCGATCAACTCAATTCAATTTATACGGTTTCGATTGGATTGGATTGAATTTGAATAAATGAAGACTTTATAGATTCGGTTAGTTCATGGATTTACTTAAGACTAGATTAGGTTAACTCGTCCGAATTTATTATTAATTTTAATATATATATATATATATATATATTTAATTTTTAGGAAGACTTGACCAAAGTCTTTAGTAGTTGGGAAGTGTATAATTAATGGGTGAAATTTGGTGTGGAACCTTTGAAGTTGAAAGGGACAAGAAGACACGACAGAGCTAAATGCATCTAACCACCATTGTTGGTCAATACTAAAACACAATAAAATAATAATCAAATTTATGACTTTCTTTATTATTATTATTTATTTAAATTATCGTTGGGATGAAATGTATCGACGTGGCAATATATCGACATTGCAATGGGTTCACGACAATGAGATTTGCAAAGGGTTTCTATAACAGCTTAATCCCATGACTAGTAGATATTGTCTTTTTTAGGCTTTCACTTATGGGTTTCCCCTCAAGGTTTTAAAAAACGTCATCTAAGGAGATGTTTTCACACTCTTATAAGAAATGCTTCGTTCTCCTCTTCAACCGATGTGGGATCGCATAATCCACCCTAGTGGAGGCCCAACATCCTCGCTGACACACTGTTCGATATCTAGCTTTGATTCCATTTGCAACAGCCCAAGTTCATCGATAGATATTGTCCTCTCTAGTCTGGATGAGTACTAGTTCTGTCGCATAACTCAAAAAGACATGTTTTAAAAACCTTAAGGGAAACACAAAAGAGAAAACTTAAAGAAGACAATATCCGTTGGTTGTAGACTTGGGTTGTTACAGTTTCTAGATAAGACATAAGGTGGGTATTGTTCTAATTAAGTTATGTTGCGTTTCAAATTTAGAGTCGAGATCTACGAAGTTCGACTTAATCAAACTCAAATCGACAACATTTTTTTGTTGAGTATTTTTCGTAAAATTAAGAAGATAATGCTCTATTTAGTCTTTTGGATTCAATTTAGAGACAGAATTGAATGTATAATATTTATTCCAATGAACCTTCGGGATTAAATGAAACCTATCAAACTTCCTTCTCTCGTTGATTCCTTGTAGGGTTAGAGCGAAAGAGGATCGAAACCGAGTTGAATCGAAATTGCACGAACCTTAGGAGCATTGGGTGAAACGTTTCAATGTGGGGACGATCGTAGGTTTAGGCATCGACCCGAGTTGTGTTTATCTTCAACATTACCATTTTCTTACGCTATAATGTTCAATACCCTTAGTCCTCCTTTCCAAGTCTTTGCGCAGCCGGACTTCCATTGTTCATTGACTTCGTTCACACATGAAATTGAGTCAACCTTTGTTTGTTTTCAATTTCCAAACTTCCAAAAAAAATAAAATAAAATAAAATAATTGAATGATTTTGTAGCATTATTAACTCGGGTCTACACGCCCGATTAAGCTCGTGTACCGAAACAAATAAAATTTAAATTGATTATGGTTTAGCGTTTTTTTTCTTGAAATTTT